TTATTTGAATTAGTATTATTGAATTTCAAAATCGAATATATAATAATACGAATAAATAAATAGAAATAAATTCTGGCATTATTCTTATTAAGAATATTCGTATGAAGAATATTTCGAATCAATTTGATATCAAGAAAATAAATATAAATAGATCTAGGATCATTAACCTTAATATTCGGGATGATTTAATACTAATATTAATTTTAATATAAATCTTATGTTAATATTTATGCAAAATTATATTAATATTATAAATATTTATATCAATTTCAATACAAAAAAGAAAATATTAAAATCAATATTAGAAATTATCGATGCCAATCACGAATAGATTTTAATCAGCAGAAATATTTGCCAAGAATATACTATATATACGTCGCGAATTATCAAGGGGGGAGACCGATCAAATATTTCTTTATAAAGAAAATATTTTTTATTTAAAATTTATAAAAGATCTATTACTTCTAATAACGAAATAAGATCGATAAAAATAATTTCTCTAATTCTATTTCAATTTGAAAAATTTCATATGCTCCATATTCTGAATATAAACTATTCGTATTCCAGCAGACCAGTAGGCCAAAGACGATAAAGATATTTTTCTATTCTATAAATCGTTCAATCTAAATAGATTTGAAATATATAATATTCTAAATAAATTTATTCATAGATATCAGATGCTATCAAATAAGAAATCTTTCTTTCGACTATCTTTAGATAGATATATATTCTAATAGCATCAATATGAGAATCAATCAATATAATTAATTATAAATAAAGATTCATTATATCTAGACACGAATCGGATACGAACCAAAAACGAACCGGCCACGAACCGGACGCGAAACAGACACGAACCGGACACGTACTCCAAAAATTAGAGATACGTTCCAAATGCGCCCCGCAAGATGCGACCAAAATATTCTGAATATTTTGGTCGCCCGCCCGTGACGGAAACTTTCCGAATGTTCAGAGCCCCAGCCATTTCCGTGGGGCCNNTGGAACATTTAGAGCCCCAAGTCGGGCCTGCAAGAGGCCACAGATGGCGGAGCCGGAAAAGCTAGGCTGCGCACAAGCCCCAAGGACGCAAGTGACAAGAGTATTATAGAATATGAATATATATATATATATATATATTATAATATCGGATACGAATTGGTATTTTTTATTCTTTATATCTTAAATAGAAATAAAGATTATGAAGAAAGAAAAAAATGAAATTAAATTATATATATATATATTTTTATATTTATATGATTTCTCATGAGTTTTTATTTTCTTATATTGAATCATATAAAATCTTATCTCTTTGCGAAGAAAATCGAGACCTATTACATAAAATACTGGTATTTCGCATATATTTTTTGAATATGATCCTAGATCAAAATTAATACTCATATAATTGAGGACCCAAGAATTTCGAGAGCAGATTTCGTAAAGCATATGTTGATCATATAGCCAAATATCCCTATCGATAGAATAGACGGTATTTTTTTAATCTCCTAATGAACAATATACGACCTAATCCTTTTTTCTGGAAAGATTGGCGCGGCTAGAAATAATCAATATCTATGCACAATAATACTACGCAGCCAACGGTGATGATACCTTTTCGCCTTGCATTCATCTGGGGTCCGAACCCCACATCGGACACGATCGCACTTTCTTGCACATGCCTGGCGGGATTCTCATCATGCCCATCCGCCCGTCGCAGGTGCCTTGAGCACACTGGTTCTGTATTAACGTCAGACCCTAGTCGCGCAGTCTGGGCTCTGACCCTAAACCGTCTGAAACCACAGGGGCAACTGAACTCTAACTTAGCCCGAAACCGTCTGAAACCACAGGGGCAACTGAACTCTAACTTAACCCGAAACCGTCTGAAACCACAGGGGCAACTGACCGAAACCGTCTGAAACCACAGGGGCAATTGAGTCCGTGGCGGGGAGCCGTCCGGCTTGGGTCGACGTGAGCCTTCGTCTGCACTCGCATAGCTTAGACGAATCTTGGGACTTGGGCTTCGGTTTAGGGTTTGGGGTTTAGGGTTTAGGGTTGACGAGGTGAGAGGATGGGGATTTCAGGAGCATTTAGGATTCTTAGGGTCTAGGATTATACGTTTTTTTTTTCCCCTCTCGCATTGGGTTCTAGGGTTTATAGGGTTTAGGGGGGTTCTTGGCGTTTCAAGAGTCAGTGAAACCCTAAACCCCAAACCCAAAACAGTGCTCCGGGAATCATTCCGGGGTGCCTAGATTGGTATCCCTTGGTTGGAGATCTCGAAGTTGGCCACATAGAACCCTTAACTAAATACTTTGCATAGCTTCAGGCATAATATAGGGGTCTCGTAGTGTCCGCTTATAGTTGCCTTATAGTCAAAAAATGTTATACTGTGGCATCCCGCAAAACCTTACTAAACTTACTAAGACCCCTATATTGCGAGTCTTCGAGGGATGCCTCCCGCATCTTGGACTCAAATCTGGTTAAAGCTGGGAAGTTGTGACGACGTGGCAAGTCCCGCCCTTCCTGTTCCGACAATCCCAAGGTATTAGTGTCCAGGGTTTAGGGCCGTTTAGGGTGTCAGGGTGTTGGGGTTTAATATGGAAGAGGCAAGAAGCCCAATGTTTAAACCCTCAACCCTGAACCCCGAACCCTTTTGCAACGGCCTTGTCAGATCTCGACCGGACTGAACCCTAAACCCTTTGCAACTGGCTTGCAACGTCACGCCAGGAAACCCTTTTTGCTGCAAGCTTGCAAGCAAGAACGCCTGGGCCTGGTAGTTAGCCACTACCCTAAACCCTAAACCCTAGACCGAAGAAGCCAACGAAACACCAAAGACAGCTGTTCATGGCATCTTTTCTCTCGGCAGGAGGCGGGAGGTCATTCTACTGACTGGGGCTCAGATGTGCTGCCAAGTACTGGGCCGAGCGGCGTTTGTACCGGTTTAGGGTTTAGGGTTTAGGGTTCCTAAGCCCTAAACCCTAAACCTGGAACCCGAAACCCGAAACCCCTACACCCCTGAACCCTTAAAGTTTAGGGGTTTAGGATACCCTTCGACGCAGGTACTGTGTTCCGGTTCCAAGCTATCTTGTTCAGCCACTGCAGAAATGTCACCCGTGAGCTAGCAGAAGCCTCTTCGAATACATAGCAATCCTGCGCACTGGATTTGCCCTCAGCAGATGAGCAGATGACGACGAGCGCATGGCATTTACCGGAGCAGTATCTAGCCTGCGATATCCGGCATCTCCGGATTCAAACTTCTCCAGGTGCCGAAAGTCAGTCCGTAAGTTGGCTATAGCATGGTTACCTATGGGTGCTCAGCCTTACCTAGACCGATCTCTTTCAGGGCTCGAGTCGGCGCTTCAAGAAGGACAGGGGCCATCACTTCTGCACCGGAAAGAGGGAAAGAGGTGCCGGGCGAACCGAAGCAACACTTAAGTGCAGGGTTTAGGGTTTAGGGTTCAGGGTTTCGAAGCGACACTTAAGTGTAGGGTTGCCAGGCATGTGAATTGAAACTGTTGAAAGCATCATTTGCTCTTCACTCTGTCATCCTTCGCCGCGTCTTTGTACACCTCGAGACATTCCACGGCTCCCAGTCATGAGCTGGCCCTGAAGCCTGACCGAAACTAAGAAGCTTCATATCGCTGGAGACAAGGCGTAACGATATGGGAGTTTCCGGAAACAGGGGGTACCTTATTTTGGGGTTCTTATATTATCAAGGATCCTACTATTTTCCCTACTTTCGGAAACCGCCATATTATCCAACTGTTAACCCTGCCTCAGAACCTTTAGCCGTGGCAGGACCAAGTAGGTCTCACCCTGAACCGTGCAGAAGTAGGGCTTAAGCTTCGAAGATCGGCAAAGGCACGGCAACTTCCATGAGCCCCTTCAGCGGCATGGAGGATACGAAGCCTGAGGCTGCTTTCGGATCGGGGGTTGCAAAACCAAAGCATTCCCTTTGAGCCTTTGACCCTACTGTAAACCCGTGCTTTAGGGTTCTAGGGTTTAGGGTAGAGGGTAGACCTTAAGGTTCAGAGTTTTTTGACAGCATGGAGCTAGGATTAAGCACTTTACGAATCTGGCACGTGGGATTCTGCACTGGCTTTTGGGTTCCACAGGTTCCGTGCCAGAAGACTCACAATCCAATATGCGGCTTCCACGAGGTCCTGGGAAAAACTGGCGTGCTGTTGCAGGGTATTCCGGCAAAGGCTTTGTAGAACCATGGGGGCGCAAGGAATGGATGCAGAGCGACAGCTGCGCTTGTGAGGCGAATCCGGGTGCTATGTCCAACAACAGGAAGGAACAGTTAATGCTCGCGACACGCAAGCGACCATCCTTATCAAGCCAAAACAGAAAGCCCAGCTTTTCGAATTACACCCTAAACCATCCTAAGCCCTAAACCCTAAACCATCCTAAGCCCTTTACAAACTTGAACAATGTAACGGTTACGGCCCTGGAGAGTTGGCTACCTTGGGCGGGTTTCCGCCCTTGAAAGCGAAGACCCTCTGACAAGGGCCGCAACACCCAGCTTACAAATCGCCGTGCACTTACGGTTTAGGGTTTAGGGCTTAGGGCTTATAGGGTTTAGGGGATAAAACTTCTAGTCGAGCAAGCACATCAGTAACAATCATATTGGCAAGGAAATTCCGCACCAGCTGTGGATGCTGGTGTTTGTCGACATTCTGACTTATGTCATCAGGTTGTGGTTTCCGTGACCTGCTATTTTTTGCGACCAGCTTGGACTATAGACTAGCCTTGACCCCTCCAGGGATCTCGGACGATGGTGAGTTCAAGCGAGTGCGCTCTCGGGCTGCTTAGACTGTGCTTCTCGGGAGACCATTGTAAGGCTGGTGTGCAGATGAGCAAAACCGATGTTGAGTAGGGTTGAGTGGGCCTCAGTGCTTATCACTTCGTCGCACAGCCCCTCAAAGAGTGAAGCCAACTGGGCTACAGTACACCAGTACTGCCACTCTCATTGTTATAGCAACACTTTTGTTCTTAGCCTTCAGTCATAGCCTCCCCATCTTCCCCAGCATGTCTTGTACTGCTCGTATGAAGAATCTGTATAGTTCTAGTATAATATACCCCAGAACCCTATTCTAAGTATTACGGCCCCTATAGTAACAGTCTTGGCAAGGAGCCCCAACGCTCTGCAGCGGCCCATCGGCCCAAAGCAGCGGAGAGCAAAGTGGCCTCGGGGCACGGAAGGCGTTTGTATGTTTTTTTAGACGCTGTTAGGGTTTAGGTTTAGACTTTGCTTTTTTTAAGAGGAAGGGGGGGGTTTGGGGTTGTGTAGGGCCGAGAGCGCTCTCCTTTGAGGTGTGCAGAAATTTGGGGTTTAGTTTTTTTGTGGTTGGGAGTAGCAGCTTCATGGGGTGTTGATGTCGCGGGTCCGGAGTCTGGGGGGTGCTCTGCCGGCTGGGTGCCAAGATGTATACCAGCCAAAAGGAGGCTGCACAAGAATAGAATGCCGTAGCTAAGCGAACCATCCGTATACCAGCGGAAGGATAAGGTATGATGGCCCAACCTGCCCAGCCTTCCCAAACAGACTGGCCTGGTGCAATTACCTATTGCATTCCGGACCCGCGCGAGCTGCTCTGGAGTGGCGACAGATTCATTGTGCAAACTTGTACTGTGGAGCCCTAAACCCTAAACCCTAAACCCTCTTTTTGGACCCAAGTGGCGAGAAGCGTGGCTTCTGTTGCTTCTCGGCGGTGGAGGAAGAAGAAGATGGCCGAGGCAATGAGCCCACAAACCGAGACCCTGCAAGTGACAAGCTTGGAAGCATTTAGGGTTTCGGGTTTAGGGATAGTATTAAGGTCCCTATAATTTAAGGTATAGCCCTAAATTCAGGGGTATTGGGCCCTTTTCTGGGTCAGTGCTTTGGGTTTTGGGTGGGGGTTCTGGCTTGGAGGGCTTCGGATTCAGGGCTGGAAGTTAGGTCGAACATGATCTGAGCCTACAAACAGCAGCTCGAAAGCTGGATCTAGGCTCGAAATCTAGCCGAAGCATTCGATGTTTCGGGCTTCATCAAGGGAGGCAAAAATTTAAGCAACGCCCATGAGGAAGCATTCTCAGGGAGAGAAAATTGTTGCACAAGGCATGGAGTCTTCATTCTCCTCCCCAAGCACCAGAGAAAGCTCTGTGAGGATCCTTTGTAAATCACGAACTCAGCACTTCGACCCCGCAGCGCTTTCGACCCTGTACAAGTGGCTCCGATCCCTTCACAAACCGCGAACAACCTTTCGGGCCGCCTGCCCGCTGCACCTTGCACCGTGCCTCAGCCAATGCGTCGACTGTCAACATCGTCTTGCAAAGAGGGTTTTCTTTTTGTAACAACCCTCTTTGGAATTCGCTGTCGCGAAGCTTGCTGTGAAATATTCGCTTGCTTCGTGGGAGTTCTTCAAGAAGCTGTCTTCTCTGCTCTGACGTGGGCTTCAAGCAACCTGCACGGGTTCGGACAGAATTTTCACCAGGTGTTGCCACTGATTCAAAGGCTTTGGATCAGCAGGCGGAGCAATGGATGGAACATGCTTCGGATCTCACGAGTTTAGTGCTCACCGAAGAACACATTCCGAAGGTCATGCTCCCGATAAGGGAGCATGACCTTCGGGCTCCCGATAAGGGGCCAAAGATCTCCATGCATTTTGGTTGCCTAAACCCTGAACAGTAAAACCCTAAACCCTAAACGATCCTTGGCTCCTTGCCCTCTGCCGAATTTGTCTTCGGACTCAGGGAACCTATGGCTTCGGGAAGCCTTTTGGATCAAGACAAGATGTCAATTTTGCTTAGGCCTCGCGCTCCTTGGTAAACTTGCTCAGGAGTCATACAGCATCCTGCCACAAAGCAGGCCTGTTTCCTTGATGTATCTCGATGTCATTACTTGCCCCTACGGCGGATCCTTGCATCCCTCTTCACTTATGGGGGTTTAGGGGTTTAGGGGTTTAGGGGCTTAGGGCTTAGGGTTTAGGGTTTAGGGTTTAGGGTTTAGGGTTAGGGTTTAGGGGTTTAGGGGCTTAGGGCTTAGGGTTTAGGGCCCGAAGCCCGAGCAAAACCGGCTGCCAAGCCGCCAAAGGCACGCATGACGCGTCGACAGCGCGGGCCTTGATTCGGAGAGGTTGGCTCGAAAGGCCATGTTCTTTTCTGGGTTGCAGTTTTAGGGCCCTGAAAAGTAATTATGAATAGATACCTCTTTAGAAACCATAAGGGAAATTTGAAAGCTTCCCAAATTGCCACCTAGTTTTGCAGTTGCATGGAAGGATTCTGGAAACACAGGGAATGACAGACGAGGAGTATGCCTTCCATTCTCCGAAAGTGCGCATGTACTGAGTGAAAAGACTCCTGCCCTAAAACCATTCTCCGCACCAAAGGCAAAACTCTCCAAATACGAATTCTGAAAGGTTTCTGCTCAAAGGATGTGGCATCTGGCATCTGTGAAGCCAGTGTGCTGGGTTTCAATTCAGAGCTGCCCTTCCCAGGGACATTTGTGCACCTGCCCAGCATGATCGTGCCTCGCTGTCCTGAGCCTCGCACAGTACTTCGAATGTCTTTGCCAGCGGTCAAAGAGCATCGAATCAGTTGCCGGAAGCGTCCTTGCACTCTCTTCCTCCCCACCCTAAACCCCGAACCCGATCCTAACCGCGCCCACCCTAAACCCTAAACCCTATCCCGGTCTTCTTGCAAGGTTCGGCTGAGACAGAAATCCGCACCCCTGCGTCCGAAAGTCCGAGTGCATCACGGGGAAGGTCTACAGTAGGACGTTTTCCCTCTTTAGGGTTTAGGGTTTAGGGTGTATAGTAGGGTTTACGGTTTAGGGTTTTTGACACTCACACTCGGACAAGCCTGGCAAGGTCTACAGCGATACTCGTAGGGTCTTTGCAGGGTTATGTGTTGAGGCACCTGGATGCCTTGCACGCTGTCATGAACTTCCTGCCCCTACCCGAACATCCTGCGAGTGGGGTTCCGAAAAGCCTCAGATTACAGCAGATCTGTGTAGCATATCTTATATCTTGTGGTCTCAGGGACTCTACAGCCCAGGCGTTAGGTCAGGTTCAGGTCTTGTGAAGAAACCACCAACATCTTCCTCTTGCCCCCGAAACGGCAGACACGCGTCAACCAGGGGTTCAGGGCCTTTTGCCCCTGAAGCTCCGCACTGAATTCGAAACCGAGAGATGACCCCTTTGCTCCTGGAGGACCTGGGGAAGTAGGGCCCTCCATTGGCAAACTCATAGAACCATCTCCTGAGTGTGGAGAAGCTTCTCTGACTGATTATCGATGTTACTTTTCTGCTAAATCTCAAACCTGAAACCCTGCTCCTTAAGGCCTAAAGCCTACCGAAAACCCATAAAAGCCCTAAGCACCAAGCACTACTTTTAGACAAGAGGCTACGGCTTTCAGCTGCTCAGGGGGTTGGGGGAATGACCGCCAACATTGGCAGAACTCCGCGCTGATGGTCTCTGTCCTACCCTACCTGCATGCGTGCTGCCAGTTTATTTCGTGCTGCTTGCATTCCCCAACCACGAACGCGTTCGCGCTTGGTGGATTAATTTTCATTATGCTTTGATTGCTTTGCCAAGGCTCCGAAACACCTCGACGCCCTTGTCAGCCGGAGTGCCTCAGCAGTTCTCTGAGCATCAGGAGTCTCATCACAGGGGTTGCGGAGGTAACATTGACACGCTCACAGAATCTTCGTTTTGAAAGTAGCCTCGGACATGGACATGCCTCGCATATCATCCCCATGCAGTTGCCGGAGGCCATGTCTTGACTTCGCGGCTCTGTGTGACAGCAGCCAACGTGACATCGGCATTCAACATGATGCCCTTGAAACCCTAAGGATGCAAGCCTTTGAAGCCCAGCAAGCCTAGATCTTTAATGACTAGAGTAAGAGTAAGCCAAGAAGGAAAATCAACAGGTAGGCCTTTTGGGGGTTAGGGAAAGCCGACAAGTTCTCAAAACCTCGAGCCCTCCCTAAACCCTAAGCCCTAAACCCTACTTTGGTTTGGGGGGTCTTCCTGCGTCTACGTGGCCGAGCACATACTGCTCTCCCCAGGCATAGTTGGAACTCTCCTGAAGCGCCCGCTCCTCATGCAGAGATCAGCAGACCCTACTTCATAATAGTACTAGTAAATAGTAATAATAATAGTAGTACCAATAATAGTAATAGTAATAGTAATAGTAATAGTAATAGTAATAGTAATAGTAATAGTAATAGTAATAGTAATAGTAATGGCGATAGTAATAGTAATGGTAATAGGAATAGTAATAGTAATTAAGGGTTTCCAGCGAGAGATTTCCCAAGTCGCACCAGCTCGCTGCAGCTGGAACACACACACACACACACATGCGGACTGTGTGGTAGAAAACCCTAAACCCGAATCCGGCCAAGACTGGTGCAGACCACTGCCAGAACATGTAATGTCTTTTGATCCCGTTAGGCGGTTTACGGTTTAGGGCCGTTAGGCGTCTCCTGTCCGCACATGGCCATCAAGTCCTGCTCTTGGAAACGGTATCCTGAACAGCGCAGATCTGACTTCGGGAGAACCTTTTTTGGGAGTTAGGATTAGGGGGACCCTTGGGGATATAAGCCCTCTCCATAAGGTCCCTTTTAAGAGAGCAAAAAGTAGGGTTCAGAAGGGGTGCCCTTTAAGGGGTACCCCTAATAATACTACCTACCTTTCCAGCTTGTTAGGACCAGAGTCGATACTGCTCCCACAGCCCCAGCAAGCTGTCTCTGCACCCGCGAGGGTCTAAATGCAACCGCACAGCCATCTAAATGCAAGGACACAGTCATCTGGTGCGGACAGGATGCCGAAGATCTTGTTGAAGAAAAGCCTCGTTTAAGGGATCAAAAACCCAAGTCTCAAGTCTCACATGCGTGTTGAACCTTACCAAGGAGCCCGATGCAGCTTTACAATTTTGAGATTTGGGCTGTGAACAATCTCGGGGCGCGCTGCCGTTTTTTTTTGCGCAACATACTGGAAGCCCCACCTGCGTACTGGGGCTGCCTGATTCAGTTCCAAAAACGTTATTCCACTGTCGGATTCCCCATCGTAGGAATTAGTTCACCACTATAAGGACCATGAATCGAAGGGTTCTCAAAATAGAGACTGTGCTAGCATAGCTGGGCTAGTAAGAAGGACTACTACGACTAGACTACTACAAGTAAGACCACCATGGTCAGAATCAAAACCATCACCCAGCAGCACCGAAAGAACTTGACGGCCTACACGAGTGCTCCCTAACCCCCTAGACCCTAAACCCTTTAAGCTCAAGCCGGAGGACACATGGAGCACATCTTCCATGATCGTCGGAAGCCGCCTCCGGCCCCAGCATGTCCCCGAGAGAGGAGCGTAATGGTTTAGGGGTTTGGGGTTTAGGGTTTTAGGATTTAGGCTTTAGGGCTTTAGGGTCTTGGGGTTTTAGGGTTTACGCTCTCGGTTTCGGGCTTTAGGGTTGTAAAGTCTCGGGTTTAAGGTTTGGAAGCATGGAGCAATACGCGTTGCAAGTCAGTTTAATCGGCATTCTATACAGCTTCTGGTAGTCTCGAGAACCACTTTCCGAAGTGCTCCAAGACTTTGCTCTGCGATTGTTGCCGGAGATGTGTGCGAGCAGCTTGGAACTTAGGGCTGAACTACAAGACACCGCTCGGCCGCCCAAAGGTATAATGTAGCGGCCTAAATAATGACCTACATTATTTTGGGGGGGGGTTCCTTATTATTATTGTTATACTATACAGGAACCCAAAACCCTATTCAAATTATGAAGGCCCTTATATGACCACTGCGTAATTTGAGCCCCCCCCAAACACACTAATAAGTAGATCTCGATGCAGCCCTGGACAGCATATGACAGCATGGCAGCACTTCACTTTCTGGGCCTGCGCCGTTCACCGGCACCAAGGTTCACGATGTAGCGGGTCTCATGCGGGCCACAAGGCACGAAGTAGAGCTGGTTCGTCCTCGGCCAGGGCGGGTGGCCGGAAGCCCCGAATGAGAACGGGATTTCGGCTTTCAGGCCTTCCGACTGCTTCAGCCTTGTATGTACAGACTCGTCCACCCAAGGTCCCACTCCAGATCCCGAGTAGTGTGACCGAGTGTCTCCACACGCCCATCCGCGTATTTGTAGACGGTGGTATTGGAACACGGTGGCACGAACCTCTCAAAGCAAGCACCAGCCTTGAGAATTTGACAGAAACGTGGTAACAGCACTTCAACTTCCCGTGCACACACAGTTGTGATGACGACGATGATGACGGTGGTGCTTCTGGCGGCGGTGGTGGTGATGTTGAGGATGACGGCGACCGTTGTCTGATGCTGATCCAAACCTGCTCCGAGTCCAGCCCTCGCGCTCCGAAACTCTTTCGGATGAGCCAACCCGAAGGCCTGAGGCTTAATCAACAGATTTCTGGCAGCCAATCGTTTGGCGAAGGAACTGTCTCGTTGCAGCGATGCCTTCCGTGGACTCGTCATAACCTCAACGCACATCGGGCCAGTTCGAGGGGTTTTTTAGGCTCAGGATTTCAGGGTTTGTCGGCTTAGCACTCATTCATGTATCGCATAGAGAGTCCCTGCCCGGGCACCTCGTGCGGGACAGTTTTGCCAGGCCAGGATGCAAAACACTCAATTGAACGACCGGAAGTATAGGCTTCGTCAGGCTCTGAAAGCACGAGTGGCCGTTGTGCTGCAGCACGAAGCCACGCTTGCCGGAAATAACATCGTCCCGCAAGACGAACTTCGTTATAGCCCGTGCCTGCCATCACGGACAAGACTCGACAGGGCGCCCCAAGATCATGTCGCTTGGAGCTTGCAAATAAGCAAAACGAAAGCAAAGACATCAGCATTTGCCGCACTGTTTGGGCACAAGGACCCTCAGTTCCTTCTACTCAATGCCAGTAGCTTGCGCAGACTTGCAAGCATGCCCCTCTCAAATCGCGCTAGTTACCCGAGAGGAGTGGGGAAACAAACAGCGAAGGCTCACAGCTTCGTGCTAATTACCTTTATCCTTGGTGCCGTGCAGCCCGCTCTGCGGCATACTTGACAATGCCGTTGTGAAGGAAGGGCGCATGAGAGGGGTCGAACGTGTTTTCCACAGACACCTGCTTCCAGCTTGCGTGCTAGTCATGCTAGTCAACTGCAAGTCATGCTTTGAAGTTCAAGATTCTGGGTGCAGGTCTTTGACATGCCTTGATGGGTGGAGGTGTTCTTGGGGGCGGGGATGCTTGCCATTACAGTGAGGTGCACTGAGTCGCCTCAGCATGTGTTGCCCAGTCATGCCTGCAAAGCATGCAGCCTGATTGAGCAGATTTGGGGGTATGGTTGGCAGCAAGTAATCACCCAAAGCTCTACTTAAAGAACCCAAAACCTACTTTTTTGTAGGGTCCCTATAAATCCCATATTAGGGTTGATAATAAGAACCTACAAAAAAATGGGTTTTGGGTTCTTAAGGTAAACCCCCTAAACCCCTTTTTCAGCACGGAAAGAGGTGCCGGCCAGCTTAGCCCCACTTAACCCTAAACCCTAAACCGGCTCTCGCCTAGGGAGCTGGTTCAACAGCGAAACTGGGCTTTCTGGGAACTTGACCTGTTACTAAACCAAACCATCTGGTAGCAACATCTACGACATGGCATTGCGAAGCCCTTGTTTTTTCTGTCCCAATCTTTCTGAAAACTTGCACCTCATGGTCATATCGCTCTCCCCGAGGGTCCAAGGCACCCAACAGTCAGGTACTTAGGTTTCAAACACTAGTTAGCAGGCTACTATTTGGGAGAGTATATGATTCTCCAAACCCTAAACCCTAAACCCTAAACCCTAAACCCTAAACCCTAAACCCTAAACCCTAAACCCCTAAGTAGGTACTTGGACCCTTGGGGTTGAGGCCTTGGGGTTTAGGAACAATGCCGTGCAGCGAAGACTACTGGAAAAAACGCAGACGGCTCTCACAACCCCCTCCGCTCTTGGAAGCTCGCTGTAATGTAGGGGCCTGAATAGTTAGAATAGGGTTTTTGGGGGCTCCTTGATAGTATAACTTATAGCAAGGAGCCCTAAGGGAAAGATATTGGTAATTATTTAGGCCAGCCGTGGCCAAAATCTCCAATATTGGTAATCATTTAGGCTTCTATACTATAGGTAAAATAGGGTTTGGGGCTCCTTTATAGTATAACTATAATGAGGAACCTTAAGGCATAATCTTGGTAATTATTTCGGCTTCTATATTATAGGTACAGTATCCAGAAGCTCCTAAGTGCCCGCAGCAGTCGACAAGCACCTGGTAGCCCACTGGCGCAACCGTCATGATCCACTCCTGAGGCTCGAATTAGCGTTTAGGGCTTAGGGTTCAGGGTTTAGAAATTGAAGTAGCGCTTCAATCTAGAGGGGCCTTCTTTGGAAGCCGGAGAGCGCTAAAGCCTGAAATCCCACTTTCGAAGCGTATAGGATTCCTGGTGCTAAGGTGTCCTCGCTCCCCCATCGCACGAGCTGCTTAGCCCTGCAGGATTTCAACTGCTTTACTGCGTGTTCGAAGCGTCGGCGCCGTCCATTTCGGGGGTGACGCATGGCGCAGACCTCAGAAGAGTCTCATGCTAAGACTCTTCCAACTCCAAAAGCCCAGTGGCAAGGCAGAGTGGCATACTGTGACCAAGATCAGAGGTCATCGGCACGCACATCAAGTCGCACCGAAACTTTCAGAACACTTGTCCTTGCTACTTGGGCGTACCGAAATTATCGGATCGCTTTCTTGCTCACACTCTTGTGTTCACCCTAAACCCTGCTTGTTTTTCTCCTAGTAGTCCATGCATGCTCGAGAAGCTGTTGGGCGCCGGGCCTACCCAGGGCAGGGCAGAGAAAGAGCCTTTCCGAGAGTACCCAAACAAAACCCTGCGGGGGCCAACAAAAAACCAAGCCCGAAACAAAATGTAGGGGCCTCGAAAATAAGCATAGGGTTTTGGGGTATATAATATTATACTTACAATAAGGAACCCCCAAAATAGTATGGGAAATGATTTAAGCCCCTATATTACAGCCCACATCCACGAAAACTGGCCCTTGAAGCTGTGCCGGGCGACTTTTTGGCGTGTGTGGTGGCATCTTGCCCGGCGAAAGGGAAGATCCACACCAGGCCCTGCAAGGGTAAAGGGTTTAGGGGTTTAGGGCTTAGGGGATTTAGGGTTTAGGGGGCTTAGGGGGTTTAGGGTTTCGACTCACGCACTCGCAAATGCAGGCATGGCGATAAGTGTCCGAGCTTAGGTTTACGGTTTCAGGTTTAGGGGTTTAGGGGTTTAGCGGTTCAGGGTTTAGGGTTTAGGGAATATGATTTATGTAGGGGTTCTTATGGTCAGGATTTGTCAGGGTCCCAACCCTAAACCCTAAACCCTAAACCCTAAACCCACTTGTTGCAGCGCCCCTATTTTCCCCCATATCCCTTGGTCGTCCGTGTCGAGGTTTGGCCTCCTAACCTTTGTTTAGGGTTTAGGGTTTAGGGTTTAGGGTTTAGGGTTTAGGGGTTTAGGGCCAGTGCTTCAGGGAAGCATGAATCCTGCCGGTATATGGTTGGGGCATTCGCGCGGTGGTGCGATGCAATGTAGCCTCTCCTCCCTTCATCCTTAGTAGTCTCTAAAGCTTCCAAGTATCCGAAGTTCTTTACAAGACCTCCAATTGAACTATGAAGCTTGCCGTAACCTATCCTAACCCTAGGTTGTGTGTGAATGGAGCAATAACGCCGTGTTCAGTAGCAATTGCTGTCCGGCGCAGCTCGACACCCTGCGATACCGTCTGTAGCAGTCGGCATTAGGCAACAACCCTCCGTAAGTTCGAGACTCGTGCAGCCTCAGAACCCCTTTAGAAAACGCCTTCCTGCAAAAACCACAGGAACCATATGCCAGAAACCCGGCCAGGGAAACTAAACCCTGACACCCGAAAGTGACTACTTAGCCCTGAAGCCCAAGTTGTTAAGCCGGTCAGACGTTTCCCCAAACCTGGATCTACAAACCCTGAAGCCCTAACCCCCGAAGCCCTAAACCCCTGAAGGCCCCCCTAAACCCTAAACCCTAAACCCTGAACCCTGAACCCTGAACCCTGAAGCCCTAAACCCTAGACCCTAGACCCTAAACCCTAAACCCTCAACCCCTGAAGGCCCTCAACCCGATCCTGCTTCACCTGCACTGGGAAGGTGGTCAGGCCTCGACGTCTCTCGACAACTGACGTACGCGGCTTACACAGGCTTGAAAGGGTGGGTGCGTGTGTGGGTTTAGGGTTTAGGGTTCAGGGTGTGTATCCATGTCTGATATAGAAATATACATACATGGTCGTACGTGGGCAGCCTGGGTCACTGGCAGCAACTGGGACTTCTCGGGATTATACCTAGGGGCTGAGTACCCTAGCCAAAAAAAGGTTAACCTTTTGAATTATAGTAGGACTATATAAGCCCAAAAATGTTAAAGGTTACCTACTCAGCCCCTATGTATAATGCTTTCGATTGGGGCGCCTCCGGCTTTCAACCTCCCTTTAGGGTTTAGGGTTTAGGGTTTAGGGCCCCTTACATCCACTGGAAAGTGCAACTTGGTCGCAGCTACGCGCCAGGCCACTTATCCGCGCCTCCTCGCTGGCTTTCGGGCTGCTTCAGGCAGAGATCTTGGGTTCGAGGTGGAGCGAGCTTTTGGAGTTGAACCACTTTAGGGTTTAGGGTTTAGGGGTTTAGGGTCTAGGGTTAGGTTTTCCGGTCTACTTTACGAACCCCCAGCGCTCTACGGACGGCAACGTTGTCAGGATAATGATTTCGACAATGGGCCCCCTACACCTTAAACCCTAGAGCCTGTATCCCTAAACCGCAAATGACCCTGATTACAGGAACACAGAAGTCTCTCGCATCCTACTTCAATGCAAAATCTCCAAAGCTATGACCAAACCGCAGAAACCCACATCCTCCCCAAAACCGTCAAGGCCCTTCAAAACCTGATCAACTCGGTTATAAAAACCAAATACACCCTGAGCCCTAAAGAATAAACCCCTGATCTCGTGGATCGGCCTCTGCTTCGTTTCTGGCCTGCGGTACACAGACGCAGCTGCCGGCCTTGAGAAAAAGGGCGTGACTTTGGAGGATTTGGGGAAGCTTTAAATCCTGTTCATCGTAGACGTTGCAACTTACTTTCCCAATAAGCCAGGGAATCAAAAGGATACACTTTCAGACTACTAACAAGTTATAAGAACCCAAAAAGTTTACAGGTTGGGTATTGGGGAACTAAGGCAAAGACCGCAAACCTTCCTTCCAAACACATAGGATGTCACTAAACCCTAAACCCCAAACCCTAAACCCTGAACCCTAAACCCTAAAAGGATGTCTCGCCCAAGCGACTCCGTTGAAAGACCAGCCATGGTATCGGCAGCGTAGCTCTCCGGAGTCCAGAACCTCCGCAGCACGGGAGGTTTAGGGATTAGGGTTTAGGGTTTAGGATTTAGGGTTTGGGGTTTAGGGTTTAGGGAGGTTTAAGGGTCAAATATAGGGGCCTTAATGATTAGAATAGGGTTCCTTTAAAAGGGTTCCTTTAAAAGGGTTACTCTAAAGGGTACTTTAAGGGTCCAATATAAGGGCCTTCATGATTGGAATAGGGTTCCTTTAAGGGTTCCTTTAAAAGGGTTACGATAAAGGGTACTTTAAGGGTCTAATATAGGGGCCTCCATGATTGGAATAGGGTTCCTTTAGGGGTTCCTTTAAAGGGGTTACTATAAGGGCTTGGGGTATAGGGGCCTTAATGATTAGAATAGGGTTCCTTTAAGGGTTCCTTTAAAGGGGTTACTATAAAGGGTATTATAAGGGTCAGATATATATAGAGCCCTTAAGAATTAGAATAGGGTTTGGGGGCCCAATATACTATAATCTGGGTCCATCGCCCTCGTTTGCCCCACTTCTTCTCCCCACTTCTCTGTCGCTCAAGTCTTCATCGTGCCGACTTTGGCTCACCAGCAACCGGGGTTTGGGGATTCCGGTTCCGGCTTTCAGGCTTCGGGACCACATCTTCGACATCTTCGACTCACTTCTTCACTTC